AAAAAAGTATTAATTGGTTGGGAAACCACTAGATATCTATTAATCAAACTTTCCTCTGGTCTATCCCTAAGGACACATAGAGAAGCAATACATCTTCCTCTTCTTGTTCATATGACACCTGCCAGATATTCACCCTCTGGCCCCAGTTCAGCAATGTGAGCAAAAGAACAGGTGAGAGAGAAAGTGGTACAGATCCATGAGGACCATTCTGGTCGTGAAGGCTCGTGGGAGATTGCTGGAAGGTTGTCATTGTCAGAACTAAAAAACTATTCCCAAAATAAAGGTACATAATTTGGGATATGCCCATGTACTAACTTTAACAAATTAAGAGTAAATCTACAAAATAACTACTACAGACTGTATTGTCACTCCTGTAACAGGTAAATTGATTGGTGAAGAGAAGAGTTCCATAATTGAGGCTTTGAAAAACAACACATCTGATCTCCCAGGAAATTCTAGCATTGATTGTGCATAAGAGAATTAAAATAGAATGAATGGTGCATTGTCCTAAGCTTCTACATCTTACCATATGCACAAGATGCACAACATATAAAACATCTTCTACACATGTAGAGACTTCAAGTAGGATCCCAAAAGGAAGTACAGGTCTCACTGTTGAGTGTGACAAGAATAGGTGATGGAAACTCTCACCTCTAGAAATAATCTGTCATTATCAATTATGGGAGGCAATACCAGGGCACTGATTGTGTTCTATAGCCCCAGCGAAGAAAGAAAAGGAGTTGCATCCACAACTCATCCTTGCATCTGACACATGGCCCCCCAAAAGAAATGTCTTAGTGACCCAAGTCAAGACTTTTCACATCCTTCTCATTCCCAGTTGCAGTTACAACATACTGGACTTAAAAAAATTCCAAATATTTATTGGAAAATTAAAGTAACAAGTTAACATTACACCTCAGTTCTGCTTGTCTTATGATTCAGCTCTATCTGGACTTGTCTGAGAATTAGACTATCACAAGCCTGCAAAGGGTCCAAATATAAATGAATGATCAGAGAATATTTTGAATAGGTATAATAACTTGGGAAATTTCACTTATATAAAAATCACCAAACTTGTAAAGATAATAATGGACTGCAACAGTAGCATAAGAGATAAAAAAAAAACTGGCAATTATGATACAGCCAGTGACCTGGAAATCACATGTTAACATCCTTATTATACATCCTTTTGACTTTCCACTTCTTTAATGGAAATAACATGAACAACAGAATTAGTAACATTTTTAATGAAGTGGTAGTAATTCTGAGATTTACTGCTAATGTCAGAAGCAATCAGAGATTTTTAAAAAAGTGGGCTAAGTGAATTAGCAACATGGCTACTCTGGTTTGCATATTTTCCCCTTCCCAAATTCCTCTTTAAATTTAATTGTTATTATAATAGTTTTAAGAGGGGAACCTTTGTGAGGTGATTAGGACCTGAGTGCTCTGCCCTCATAAATAGATTGATGCTATTATTACACGGGTGGGTTCATTTTTATAGAAGTAGTTTCCTCAAAAAATGAAAAATTCAGCCCTCTTTTGTCTCTCTCTAACCCTCTCTTTGCCCTTGCAGCATGTAATGTCTTCTGTCATGTCATAATGCAGAAGAAGGCCCTCACCTGATGCCAATGACTTGAAGTTGGACTTCTCTGTTTAGAGAATTTTGATCCTGTAAATTTCTGTTTAATGTAAATTACGCAGAGGGTGGTATTCTGTTATAACAGCACACAAAAGAAACACACAAAGGTGGAATGGAAGTTGCTAGAACTTATTCCCTTGAATAAACATTAATTTGAACTATTTTACAAATAGAAAAATGCATTTACAACTCCTAAGCCATTAGGGAAGCACATACAATATTTGGGGCAGAGCAGAGAAATAAGAAAAGAAGCGTTAAAGAGAATGGAAAGGACAGTTTCACATTATCCATATCACCCTTCTCCTAAACCTGAGAAACACAGAGCAGACATTCCCTCTTTGTGGAGAAAGGAGTCTGGAGTGAGCACTAAACTTTCACTATACCCCAGCCCTACCCCAGGGGTATAGTAAGTTTCCCTTCCTGGTGCAAATACAGCCCCAAACTTCCTGCTGACCTCCATAGACATACCTCAGGTATATTCTGGCACCATCCTGGCTCCAGAAGCCCCACACTCCAAACTAGGTCACTGAAAAGAGACTAAAAGCTTGCCCAAATATCAGACCAAGCCCACAGCCCTAGATTTTAATCCACAACATGAAGCCATCTTCCATGGATCCTACCTCTTGGCCACCTCTGTGGACACAGGCTCTATACTCACTCCTGTGGACACAGGTGCCAGGACCATGCTAGTAAAAATGAGAATCAGAAAGGCTCTTTCAGATTCAGGACCATGTCCAACCCCACAGGTGTTCCCTTTCCCACACCAGCACAAGACCAGCACCCACAGATTGATATGAAGGCCCACCACAGTGCCAGATGGGTCCATGTGAACCTAGTATACTGGTATGCTCCTCTATACCCTGGAAAAAAATGAATAAATTCCTTAACATATAGGACCTTCCTAGATTGGATTTTGAAGACACAGAAACATTAAGCAAATGTATAGCAAGCAGGGAGATTGGATCAGATTTTTAAAAAGTCTGCCATCAAAGAAAAGCCCAGGAGTGGATGGCTTCACTGATGTATTCTATCAAATATATATTTTTAAAAACCTATTTTAACTGATACATGAATACATAAAATTATACATATTAATACAATTCCAAGTACCATTTGTATTTATATATATGAACACTGAATAATGTTTAAGTAAGGTTTAAAAAGTCTAATATTTGTGATTTCTTCATGGGGAAAACATTTAAAATCCTTTTTTGTGGCTTTTGAATTTGTACATTTCTTTTGTTTTCTATTATCACCCTATTTTTCAATAGCACACAAAAACTCCATATTCCTATCTAACCATAAGTTAGCATCCATCAAACTTTCATCAGCATGTCAAAGTTCTAATAATCACAATCTGCTCTTGAATTCAATGAGACTGTTTTCTTTTTCTTTTTTTTTTTAATTCCTCATATCAATTACATCATGAAGTACTTGTCTTTCTGTGTCTGGCTTCTTTCTTTTTTCAGGGTAAGGGAAAAGGAGTTGAGGATCCAACCCAGGGCCCTGTATACACTGTGCATACATTCTGAGACATGCCCCTACCTCTGGCTTATTTCACTTATAATATGGTCTCCAGTTCCATCCATGTTGTCAAACACAACAACATTTGTCATTCGTAGTTGAATCATATTCCATTGTACATGTGTACTACATTTTCTTTGTTTATTTATTAGTTAAAGGACATTGTTTCCACCTTTTGACTATTGGGAATAGTGCCACAAGGAAGGGAATCTATGTTTATTTGATGTACTTTTTTGCTTCCCTTTGATATATATTCAGTATTGGGTTTATTGGATCATACACTACTTCTATTTTCAAATTTTTGAAGGAGCTTCATACTATTTTCTTAATAACTATCCAAATGTACAGTCTCTCCAACAATGTGCAAGGTTCTCCTTTTCTGTAGATCCTCACTATCTGTTTTTTCTGTGTTTTCTTTTGAGTATTTTTTTAGTTGTAGGTGGACACAATACCTTTGCTTTGTTTATTTATGTGTGGTGCTGAGGATCGAACTCAGGGCCTCAGACATGCCAGATGAGCACTCTACCACTGAACCAAAACCCCAGCCCTCTTCTGGGTCTTTTTCATAAGAGCTATTCTTATTAGAGTGAGGCAGTATCCTATTGTGGTTTTGATTTATATTTATCTGATTATTAGCAATGAACATTTTTTCATCTTGCTGTTATCCATTTGCATTTCTAATTTTGAGAAATGACTACTTAGATCTATTGCCCATTTTTAAATTGAGTTATTTATTATTTTGCTATTGACTTTGTGTGCTTCCTTGTATATTCTGTACATAAAGACTTATGAGACATAGAGTTTGAAAATCCTTTCTTCCATTCATTTTTTTTTTGTCTCTGCACGCTTGATTGTTTCCTTTGTGGTGCATAAACTTTTTAGTTTGATACTATTCTATTTGTCTATTTCTGCTCTTGTGCCTTTATGATCTTCTCCAAAACAATTCTTACTGATTTTGAAGTCCTGAGCATTTTAGAAAAATAAAAACAAATCAAACCTAAAATTTGTTGGAGAAATAATAAAGATCATCGCAGAAATAAGTGAAATGGAGAGAAAAAAAACAATACAAAAAATTGATGAAACAAACACCTGGTTCTTTTTTCTACCTTGATTAAGAAATAGAGAGAGGAGACACAAATTTTTAAAAAATCAGATGTGAAATGAGAGATATTACAACTGACACCACAGAATGGAGAAGAACTTTTGAAATTATTACAAACAACAATGTGCTAACAAATTTCATAACTAAAAAAAGGATAAATTCCTAGACATACAAATTACCAACACTGAATCAGGAAAGAGGAAATAGATGAATAACAAGTAACAATATTAAATCAATAATTAAAATCCTCCCATCAATACACCAATGAAAGTGCTGGACCAAATGACTTCACTTCTGAATTAGAGCACACACTCAAAAAAGAACTAATAGCATTTCACCTTAAATTATTTTAAAAAAATAATAATAGGAAAAAATTATTTTAAAAGACTTTATATTAGACCAGCTTTACGCTAAAACTAGAACTAGATAAGGTAAAACAAACAAAGAAAACTGCAGCTCAATATCTTTGATAAAGGTGGATGCCAAATATGGATGTTGAGGAACAACACACTAGCAAACCAAATCCAACAGTGTATTTAAAAAACTATGAACCATGATCCAGGGGATTCATCCCAGGGTTTCAAAAAAATTTCAATCTATGCAATGAAAGAAAATCATATGATCATCTCAATAGATAGAGAAAAGGCATTTAATAAGATTCAATATCTTATCCTTATAAAACTGCTGAAAATATTAGGTATAAAAGAAATATATCTCAACATATAAAGGCCATTTGTAATACTCCAGTAGCTAACATTACACTGAAAGGCAAAAAGTTAAAAACTTTCTCAGTAAAATCTAGAATAAGACAAAGAAGATCACTTTCACCACTTTTATTAAATGTAATTCTGAAAGTTCAAACAAGAGAACTCAGTGAAGAGAAAGAAATAAGGGGCTTCTTATTGG